CCACCATTACTACCACCACCACCTCCTCTACCACACATTTGCTTTACTGCCCACAATTACTGAACCAGCTTGATGTTAACCTGCTCTGTCGAGACAAACAGAAAGGAAATGTTGCGAGCCACTGAGCAGCTCCTTAGCACTCATCCATTCATGAGTCCAGATGTGGGGGTCTTTGAAAGCTTCATCGGAGAAGACAGCATCAGTTCCAGAGCACACTCCCTGTGTGTCCTTATGAATTACTGAGGGCGTGGCTATCCCCCTTTCCAGAATAAAAGTCTCTCTCAAGAGCCACGTCTCCATATTTGCTCTGCAGAGCAATATTACTAGTAACTTCTGTAGCAAATACTTCTTGTATAAACAGATTAGAGATCAAGTGTATAAAGCAGTGGTTTGATCAGCTAGCCTGGTGAAAAGTTAGGTTAACAATCAGAATGTCGGGGCGCCTGCCGATGTCTCCGTTTAACTCTACTGGCCCCAACAGCAAAAAGGATCAACTCTCCCAGGTCAGGAGTTTTTCTCTAGTTGGGGGTCACAGCACCCAGTGCTGACGTCCCGTGGTGTACTGAGAGTTTGGAAATAGAAATTAGGCTTGCACAGGTTTGCCTAATCTTGTGCCTAATCTAATTAGCTGTCTGTTCCCTTTGTAATGCTAAAATGTGTTCCTTTAATGATATTCCCCCCCTTTTCCCTCCTCTCTTTAGAGAAACCAATTTAAAATTCAAAATGGCACTCGAGATAACAGACCAATACCTGCAGAGGGAAAGCGCACTGGCCGCATTTGATGGTTTGTACAAAGATCCCTCAGTTTGTTTCCAGTGTCCGTGGTGGGATTCAGTACTTTTGATTAGAACGAGAAAAGCTTGCGGATGTGATGAATCTTTTTTTTCCAACAAGGTTTCATTGAGTGCGAAGAACCCAATAACCGGCTGGATAAGTTTACTGGCACCCTCTTCTGGAGAAACACCAGCTTCCCCTTGGACGCCGATAAAGTCTTGCTGCGGGGCTGTGTCATCAGGAACACGGATGTGTGCCACGGGCTGGTCATCTTTGCAGGTCCTGCCAGAGTTTCCTGGGGAATTGATCCAACCTGACTTTTATAGAGAGCTCTGGCTGCTTTTCTGCCCCATTCGAAGGTGGCACAGAGGTTAAGCAATACACTGCTACTCGGAAGGTCAGCGGTTCAAACTCAACCAGTGGCTGTGGGGGAGAACGCCTGTTAATCACCTCCTATGGCGATTACAGCTCAGAAACCCCTATGGAGTGGCTCCACTCTGTCACGTGGGCTCGCTGGGAGCCGAGGATGGACTCAATGGCACCCGAGGGTGACGATGCTACTGAAATAAACAAAAACCAAACCCCCTACCATCCAGGGGATGCCAACTCTCAGCGGCCCCTTAGGACAGAATCAGCTGCCCCTTTGGGTTTCCGAGGCTGCAAAGCTTGACAGGGGTGGCAAGCCTCCGCTTTACCCTGTGGGGAGGTGGGTGGTTTTGAACGGCTGGTGTCAGCCACTGGGCCACCAGGATTCCTTTGTTGGAACCAAAGGGTGTGTCATTTATTGCCAGACTGGTGAGTGGATCTTTCCAGTAACGCACTGACGGCATTGAACTTTCCCTTTGTAGGTGCCGACACGAAAATCATGAAGAATAGTGGGAAAACCCGGTTCAAAAGGACTAAAATCGACTACTTGATGAACTATATGGTCTACACGGTACCCAGGCGCTGCTGTGCTACATGAGACCTAGGCTGCTACCTGCCCATCCTCAAATCTGGCTGCATGATTTTCTCATGCAACACCCTTGTCCTCCACCCCCCTCATCCTCCTCACACACACACACCCCCGCTCCCGCGTGCCCAAAAAAACCCAAAACCCTCAGGTCTTTAGGCCACCCAGAAAATGAATTGAAAGCTTAGAGCTCAGGTGGTGTTGCAGTGGGAATTCCCTCACCTTTCCCTGGAAATGCCACACTCCCACGATGAGAGTCCCATTGGGAAGGGGCATTGCTTCCAGTCATCGGTCATTTGGGTGATGGGAACGGCCAGGTAGAACACCAGGGTTCCTAGACTAGGTGGTGGGCGGGGCTCCTGAAGTCGGTGGAGGGTGACATTACTGCTTTCTGTTTTCCACGGGTGCCGATGGCGTGACCTCTCTCATCTTTGCACTCCCTTGGTGTCTTCTAGATCATTGTTGTTCTAATCCTGCTTTCGGCCGGCCTGGCCATCGGCCACGCTTACTGGGAAGCCCAAGTTGGCAATTACTCTTGGTACCTCTATGATGGCGAAGACTACCTGCCCTCCTACCGCGGGTTCCTCACTTTCTGGGGCTACATCATCATTCTTAACACCATGGTGCCCATCTCTCTCTATGTCAGGTAAGGCCGCGCCTTCTTTGGAGGAAGATAATACATTGCTGATAATTTAGCACCTCCGGTGGTCTCATGGTTATGGGTTGGGCTGCTAACTGCAAGGCCAGCAGTTTGAAACCACCAGCTCCTCTTCGGGAGAAAGATGGGGCTTTCTACTCCTGTGAAGGGTTACAGTCTCGGAAACCCACGGGCGCAGTGGTGCTCTGCCCTGCAGGGTCGCTGTAAGTCGCCCTCAGCTCGATGGCAGTGAGTTTTGTTTTGTTTCATTTTCTTTCTCCTGGGAAATGTTTCAACGATCACAAGGAAGAAGGGCAACAAGTGGGGCTGTCATTTCGCCCCTGGGGGTAATGCAAGGAGAGGTGATTAACGTTCAAGTGGCTACTCCGTGCCAGGCACGGGCGCTTGTATCTTGTCCCCTTTGCAGATAAGGTAAATGAAGTTTAAAGGTCAACGCCACTCCCACTGCCATGTGGTGGGAAGATTTCGTCATAGGTGGGCTCCAGCACCATGGTTCAAAAAGATGTGGGAGAAGGTGAAGATGTAGCATGCCCTGGACTAATGCTTGCCTGGCTTGCCTTTCCCTCTTTGGGGGGCACCTTCCTTTTACCTGAGCTTCCCTTATTACCATCTGCCACACCACGGCTCGGAAAAGCCCTCGGCTTCCTGGTTGCTAAGGAGCTCATCGGGAGATTGGAGCTCATGCCACCTTCCTCGTCCTCTCTCAGGGTCTGTTTCTCCTCTCAGCAACGACCACAGCTAAAAAGCCAAGGTTTTACGCATGGCAAACAGTCCTGGCCTTCTTTGCGGGGTTCTTTCTTTTTCCACTTTTCATCGATCTTCAGAATTCACTGTGGCTGGATTTTAGACGCTTGAGCAGGGAGTGTGCCAGGATGGTTCTCAGCGGCCAGAGTGGGTTCTTACACCACCATGGACTCTATTCCAACCCATAATGACCCTAGAGGGCACGGTAGAACTGCCCCTGTGGGCTTCCGAGACTGTGACATTGTACAGAGGAGAGAGCCTCATCTTTCACTCTCAGAGGGCTGGTGGTCTTGAGCTGCTGACCCTTGGCTTAGCAGCCCTGTGTGTAGTTCATTACACAACCTTATAGAGCAGATCCTTGGTACTGAGAAATAAATAACAGCCCAGAGGCACATGGAATATCACCTGCATGCCTTTAATTAGAAGCACTTGCTTTATTTTAATTTCATTACACCTGTACTTGCTTTGTTTTTAATTTGATTACGTGTAATGACTGTGCCTCTTTTGCTGCAAAGTGAAGGTCTGTTTGCAGCTCCCCTGGGGCAGGTTGCCTCAGTGCAGGAAACAGGACAGATTGTTTTGTCTCAAACCGTAAGGATGTGTTATAAAACAAGCTCTTTCTGTGATTTTTAAAATATCATTTTATTGGGGGTTCTTACAGCTCTTATAACATCCCATGCATCCATTGTATCAAGCATATTTGTACATATGTTGCCATTATCATTTCTAAAACATTTTCTACTTGAGTCCTTGGTATCAGCTTCTCTTTCCCCCTCTCCCCCACCCTCATGACTCCTTGGTCAATTATATATTATTATTATTATTATTATTATTATTATTATTATTTTGTATCTTACACTGTCCACTGTCTCCCTTCAACCACATTTCTGTTATTCGTCCCCTTGAGGGGGGCAGCCATATATACAACCTTGTGACGAGTTCCCCTTTTCTCCCCCTTCCCCTCTCCAAATTTTTTACTGGCATGAACTTCTTTTTCCCAAGAACAAGGATCCTTATAAAGCCAAAGGGAGATTAGCCCTAGATAGTCAGAGAATATTATGGCTTTGTCCTCAACCCTTTAATAGCTTTCTGCCTCGTTCTGAATAAAATCATGGGGACCAAGCTGGGCCAGATGGACTCCGTGTGACCTGGTGCCCCTTACCTGCCTCCTGACCTTACCTGCCTCACCTCTGCCCACTGCCCAATGCCCCTGCCAGTCCAGCCTCAGGGCCCTTCTCCTCTTGTGCCAGGGCCTCCCATGAGGCCTTGCACCTCCTCTTAGCTCTGCCTGGAGTGTTCTTCCCACCGTCTTCAATGGTCCCTGTGTTGGTTTCCTGGGCCTGCCCTAACTAAAGACCACCAACCATTGGGTTTCAAACAAGGGCCATTTAGTCTCAGTCTCCTGGGGGCTTTGCAGCGGCCCTCCTCGACTCTCTCCTAATGTCCACTCGCTGCTGGCAGGCAGTCCTAGGTTTGCAGACACACAGTTCCAGTCTGCGCCTGCCTGTCCCTGTCTCTCCTCCTTATCCCGCTCTGTGTCCCAGTCTCCCTTGTCTTAGGACTGCAGTCATTGTTTCAAAGTCCACCCCCGACCTAACCCAATCTGACCGCGCCTCACATGTGCAGGTCACCTTCCTGAAGACCTGGGCACCTAGAGGGTAGAACTCAAGCACGTGTTCTTAGGAGCCCCGGCTCAGCCACGGCAATGCCCCTGTAGGAGTGGACAAAGTAGATTGAAGGCAGCCTCCCGAGGCTTAGAGAGAATGCCTGCCTTTGCACAGCGTGGAGTCCTGTGCCCGCAGCCCTGTCCTCACTTGAGGGAAGACTCGGGTCTGTTAAAAGAGGGACACCACCCCCTTAATGGATACAGTGGATAGCATAAGATATGGTAAAAAAAAAAATAATTTTTAATATAAGAATAAGGGCTCCTGGGGGGCAGGGTGGGGGACAGAGGAGATAAAGGGGAGGTGCTAACAACGAATTCAAGAATAAAGAAAATGTTTTGAAAAGAATGGTGGCAGTACCATTGTGCTGATCTAATTGAATTATAGATTATTATAATATCTGTAAGAGCTCCCAATAAAATGATTTTTTAAGGGACACCCCACCCTATCCCATCCCTCCCTGCTTTGCCCTATAATCAGGAACACAAGTGAGTGCCCAAGGTATGAAGGGGAGCCAGAGAACAGGAAGAGGCCGGTCCCCTCTGGTGGTAGCCCTGGCCTGCAGTGTGACGCTGCTGTCTGCTCTCCTGGGCATGTGGGCTGGCCTCGGGCTCGTCCTCTATGAGGGCAAGAGTGCCTGCAAACTTCTCTCCTGCGTCAGCTTAGCCAGCAGAACCTCCAAGATCAGGCCCAGAGCCACCCTGTGGCTTCTGTCTCCTTCCGAAGAAGCAGCTGGGTGCAGGAAGTGCAGGCAAGGCTTCTACCTGAGCCCACTATCAACCCGCCGCTTTCCCGCTAGCGTGGAAGTGATCCGGCTCATGCAGAGCTACTTCATCAACTGGGACCTGCAGATGTACTACCCCGAGAAGGACACGCCCGCCAAGGCCCGGACCACCACGCTGAACGAGCAGCTGGGACAGATCCACTACATCTTCTCGGACAAGACGGGGACGCTGACGCAGAATGTCATGACCTTTAAAAAGTGCTGCATCAACGGGCAGATCTACGGTGCGTATAAGCCGTTGCAGGGCACCAGTGAGGCCTAGGTGCTAGGCTTTGCACCTTCCACCCAGGAGACTCAATCCTGGCACCTCCTGCATAGCTGCCACCCATCTGTCCGTGGAGGCTTGTGCGTGGCCATGGGGCTAAACAGGTTGCTGTGGAGCTTGCAGCCTAAAACCCATGAGGAAGAAAGCTCTGGTGAACTGCTTCCCCAAATCAGCCGGTGCAAACCCTATTGGCCCTAGTGGTCCGATCTCTAGCACATCCTGGGGTTAGCCCAGGACCATACGGACAGTGTTGCCGCCCATTGTGCCTGCGGTCCACTGGTCAGGGGCCAACGTGAGTCTGGCCAACACTACCAGCAACGGCCGTGGGGCGTCCTGTCACCTCTGAGCCTACAGTGCCCGCTCGGTGCTGCTGCTGGCCTATCCTGGCCGAGGTCTGGGTTAGAAGCCTCACGGGCAGGGTTGGAGCAAGCACCTGGGAGAGGCCAGCAGTCAGCAAGAGACCCACACTGTATGCTCTTCCCCTTGGGGAAAACGCTGTTCTCTGCCTGCATAGTCACATAACAAGCATCAGGACAGTGCATTAGGGGTATGGACAGATACCTCGCTCTTTAATCGGTGAGGGAGGGGTGACCCCTAAGGTTGAGGAGGTGAGTTCTGGGTGTATGATGACCTTGCTTCTGAGTCCGGTGTGGTCCAGTGCTTCATGGGACATGATCCGGCCCCCGGGGGAGTGTGGGGTGGATAGGGGCCCGGGCTTCAGGGTTGGAGCAGCAAAACCTGAGGTCAGCAGACTCTTGCGTCAAAGAAGCAGAGGGCGGCAGGTGTTTCAGAAAAAGGAGACCCCCTTCTTAGCCCAGGGAAGACATGACCAACTAGTTGCTGCTGCTGAGCTGGTTTTGACGCGACCTTGCGCGTGTGAGAGTGGAGTTGTGCCCCAGGGGGTTTTGATGACTGGCTTTGCAGAAGGAGCTCCCTAGCCCTCCCTCCCAACGCGCATCAGGGTGGAGGAAGGGCCGTACAAAGCAGGCGACGAGACCGCCATCACTGTCAACACTCCAGCAAGGACAGGTGAGGCAGGGCCTCCCTACACCCGTAGGGGCTCAATTTGTTCTTTCCCACTTCTTTCTCAGGAGACCACCGGGACCCTTCTCAACATAATCACAACAAAATAGAGGTGAGTCCTTGTCACAGGAGGGATTGCCCAGGCTGCCCGTTGTTTGTTGTTTGTTTGTTGTAATAGATAACCCCTTCTGACCTGTATAGTGCGGCCACACTGATAACATCACTCCTGTGCAGCCATCGCCCATGGCCGTGGTCAGGGTGGCTTTTCTGCTGAAAGACAGATGTGAGCTTCTGGGCACTGCAGTCAAGAATGTGTGCCATTGATGGCAACATATGTGTCAATGTGCTTGATTCAACTGACATATGGGTTGTGATAAGAGCTGTAAGAGTACTCAATCAAATGGTTAATTAAAAATAAATAAATAAGAATGTGTGCCAAACCTGAAGTGGCATGTGCATAATTAAAGACTTGGCTCCAAAAAGAAGCCATGTCATTTGTTAAGCCAGAAATGCTTTGGGTTGTCTCTTGAGATTTTTTCATGTTTCTGGTGACAGCTTACAACAAACAGCAAATTAGGCTCCCATTGAACCGTATCTATGGGTATCGTTCAATGACGAGGGTTACAGGTCTATGTTGTGTCACATTTTCATTGTTCATTCTGGTTGTGTCTTTCCCATTAATCTAACTTCCCTGCCCCTGGACCCTCCACTCTCTCATCTTTGCTCTCTGTAAATGTCACTCTTTGGTCTCAGACAGGTGATTGAAGAAGATAACTAAGGGAGCACAGTGCTCATGCGTGATCTTGTTTCTCTTATTTGATGAGCCCATCTGATGCGTAGCTGAAAGGTGGCCTGAAGGTGTGACGTTAGTTCCAAGTTTGAAGGGTGGATCAGGGTGATGTTCTTGAGGGTTCTTCTAGTCGCTACTGGTACAGTAAGTCTGGCCTTTTAAAGAATTTTGTTGTTGTTTTCCATCCAAACATTCCAGTTTCTTCCATTCTATCCGGGGCCCTTTAGTGGATCCCTGGCCAGAACACTTGGTAGCGGAAGCTGGGCACCATCTATTCCTTATGATCTCAGGATAGAGGAGGCCATGACTAATGTCGGCAGTTCATCCTATAGACTAGTTTCTTCCTTGAGTCTTGGTTTCCTTCTTCTTCTTCTGCTCCAGACAAGTAGAGACAAATCATCGTGTCTTAGATGACTGCTTGTAAGCCTTGGAGACCCCAAATGCTACTTAGCCAACAAGAAGGTAGAACATAACCTTGATGGTCTACCTTGTACCTGTTGACCCCATCGTTCCACCAGATTGTGGGCCCAAGCTTTCAAACATGCAAGCTGATTTTTGGTTATGTCTAAGAAATATCGATGTCCATGCCCCCTCTGTGCCTTATCACATATGTGAATGTATGTGCAGCACATACAAACATGTGTAAACATATTTCTACAGGTGTCCACTTATGCCTTCCTATACACATATAAGTACACGTAACTATTTAACCACTCATAGTTTTTGTTATTGTTTTTTTGTTTGTGGGTGCCTTTTCTCATTTGTAAAACTGCGATGGTTGCAAAATGATACATGTTACAGCATTTCCTGCTCATGTCCCTTATGCTTGGGTACTTGTTTTTTTTTCAATTGTTTTATTAGGGGAGAATACAACTCTTATCACAATCCATACATACATCAATTGTGTAAAGCAAATTTGTATATTCATTGCCCTCATAATTCTCAAAACATTTGCTCTCCACCTAAGCCTCTGGCATCAGCTCCTCATTTTTCCCCTCCCTCCCCGCTCCCCCCTCCCTCATGAATCCTTGATAATTTATAAATTATTATTTTGTCATATCTT